ATGGAAGGGAGGGGACTGAGAAGAAGAAGCAACTGACTAGTAGTGACCAGGAGTCTCCTACATCTAATCTAATGAGGAAACACAGAGTGAGACTGGGGGCAGTGATGAGAAGAGAGACAGAAAGGAGAAATAGAAGCAACAAATGAGGTTAGGTCCCAACATGAACAGTTAGATGAAGGCGTCGGGGGGGGGGGGGGGGAAAATAGATAGGGATGATCAGACAAGAGGGGGGGCGATAGTCGATGCTAAATCCATTAGGTCCCTGTGACCCCCATTTTCCATCCCAATAGCCTCCCCACCACACCCAATTCCTGTGGCTGCCTCTATGGAAGCCCTCTACCCCACAATCACGTGCACATACACTTAAATCAAAGGAGCTCTTGTTCACTTAAGAAGGGGGGCGGTGGGGGTTCACTGCCGCTTCCTAAATGAGTTAACCATTCCGGACTGTCAGGGCATGTCTTCAAGACACACACACATATACACATACATACACACACACACACACACGCGCACACACAAGCTGCAGAACTAAGCAAGGTGTGTGTACGCAAAGATGACCCAATCACATCACCACAAGTGCATCCACAATTCAAATTTGAATTATTTTCGTTTGAGCGAGGCAAATAATTCCAATGCTGTTACATGGAACAATTCAATTTGAAGTCAAGAGATCTTTTTTTTTTTTTTTTACCTATGTTTATACAAAGATGCTATTTTCAGACCTTACAGTGAAGCTTGGGAAGTTTTGAAAATTAAGACATGTTGTGATTTATGTATATGACCTTCATTTTTCAAAGCACTTCAGGAGGTCTCTCTATCCTCCTGATACCAAACTCCTAGTGGCTTGCCACGAGACCTCTATGAAATCCTCAGAGTGCACGTTAAAGAGCACTGGTTCCATGATCGCGATGCCTGGTCCAAGTCTGCCCTGTCAACATTAACCTGGCTATCCATTCCATGCCCCTGTACCCTGCTATTGCTTTTTATCTAGTGATTTATGGCGAAGACTTTTGAAGTGTGTAGGGTTGAGAGTCAGAGGCTCACAGTTTCTAATTTCAGGTTTTAACAGGTAAGGTCTCACTGATGCAGTCCACTACAGACATAGGTTCGGGGTCTATGCTAACTCGATGTGGCAAAACAAAACGAGGAGAAGGAGAAATAATTATTCTTTTCCTAGAGAGAATCTTCAAGAAATTATTACTTATTGTATGCCATTTAGTTATAGAAAACATTCCTTTGATTTGCTCTACTGGATATTTGATCGGTTTAAGTTTGTTAGTTAGTTCAATGAACCAACAATTCATGAGAGTGTGTGTCAAACCCTAGATTCATGTGTTCTTGACCATTAAGCCAATCATACTGTACATGACATAACAATAAGAAGGTAAATAACATTGGGTTTCAACATAATTTAAAAGTGCTGTCTTATGAAAGGGACATGCCGTCTGAACACAAATGCACTAATTTCAAAAGACGTTGCCATTGATATTAATATTGTAACTTACTTTGCTGTGATGTTTCTCACTGTGAAATCGAGAAGAAAAGGGAGGGAGACTGTGTCTCGTAGGTAGTGTATCCATTAATCACAGCTGTTTCATATTGAAGTTTGTAAAACTGCCAGGTGACAAATGAAGTGTAGTTCACAGTGCATTTTAATGATAACTTTGTGTCCACTCCTGAAAGGTCCAATCTAACTAGGTGCACAAAATGAGTTCATTATCCAGCATCTTTGGTGAAGCACATCCAGAGACGGTATCAACCAAGGCAGCGTACAAGACAGTTAACTTGGCCTTACAATTAATAAAACACAAATCAGATTTTTTTTGAGCCAGACTGTCACCAGACCCAGGCAAAATGATGTGGCTATGAGGTGAAAATATAATGCTACCCTCTGAGGTATTAAGTAAACAGAAAGTGTCATTCATGCTGACACGCGTTCTTGTCGGGGCTCTATGTCAATGCTTGTTATTGTGGCGGTATGTATAAATATATACATGTACATGAGAGTTCAGCTACTTATCTCCACCAACCTGTAGCGGATCCCACTATTTCTCTTGAAGGGGACTCAGACATGGCATCAGCCAGTCTCTCACGCAGGCCTTCGTCGCTGGCATCTACTGACCCGGCGTAGTGCCGTGGAACACCAAAGCTCTCTGGCCAGCTCCCACATACCTCCAGCAGGGTCACACCACGTCCATCAAATGGCCCTGCAATGATTAAGAAGAAACACATGCATGTCAGTATGATTTTACGCTCATGTAATCATGAAAGCAGAACTGCACGTATAGATTTACTTAATTAAAAGGATCTATAAAATACATAGGCTGATAAACTGTGTAGTCAACAGCCTTTCAGTAGAAATAACTATCGCCTAAGAGAGTATTTGTGCGAAATAAAACTGAAACCCAGTTTTTTCTTCTTATTGCTAATACAGAATTTGTGAAGCTCAGTTGACTCTACTGAGTCAGCAGTGTCAGTAAAAAGCGTGTGCTGGTGGCATGCATCTAATCATTACTATGTGATTAAAGGATCCTGATTGATGTCAGATGGGAAAATCAAAAACTCATGTGCAATGAGTATTAAATTAAAAATATGCGTCTACGCTGGACAAGACTGCACATTTGAATGCATTTTCAAACTTAAAATTGTATTAAGAAATAAAAATGAAGTCAGCCAGGAAATAATTTATGCCTGAAATAGTTTTATTGGCGCCTTGCAAAATGACTTAAAACAAGTTGCAAAAAGATATCGGGTTGAAATATAAGTGGTTTAATTCAATATTGATTTCCAACTCACAGCAAGCTATAATTAATCACTTTCTTCAAATCTAATTTAGATAATTCCAGAAATTTTACAAGGTATATTGACATAATGTTGGGATTGAATACATCAGTCAAACCTTGTTTTTTTATAACTCTTATTGTACTGTAAAATGATTCTAAAACATACAAGCCCACCAGAGTCAAACAGATCAGCTGCCATGAATTCACAAACTCACACAGCAAACCACTTGTTAGTGCAACATAGTTGTCATGCCTGTCACAAGGAAATGTAGACAAGCTTCCTCTACATCTTAATCTCTTTTCTTCTATGTCCTCCATGTTTTCTGCTATCGAAAAGATCTTGCACATTGGAGCCAGACAGTCTGCAACCTGCTTCTCCGTGTGAGTGTTTAGTGTGTGGCAACCAAGGCATGTAGACACAAAAACAACTGGTTCGTTCTGTTAGCGTGTCCACTTTACATGGCTACTGTGCCTGCAAGGAGTGTGAAGTGATAAGGGCATCTTTAGCTGTGGTGTTAAAAGCTGAGCAAAAAAAACACAACAATTCAGACACATGACTTTGTTCCAAAGCCTGCTTAAAATTATCATTAGTTGTGCATGTAGATGATTCCTTGACACACAATAAAATGTTACAGACGTTAGTCCTCAGGAAATGACTATATCTAATTTCTGGAAAAGAATTTTGAGTGGCACAGTTGGGCAACTGTTTCAGTTTTACAGATGCTGTTGGGAAATTATGCTGGTGATATTATCAAATGTACAATCAGCCCTTCTAGTAAGAAGAAAATCTGGGGTATAGTTATTCTAGGTTGTAATCTAAAATGGCTACAATTTTCCCAAGCAGTTAGACCTAGCTATATCGTAGCAAATCCCCACTGAATGTAGGAGCTCAAGAGAAGTAGCTAAAAAGCAATGATACCATAGTTAACTATGTCTAGGTATGTAATATATGACAGTCAAAATCTTATTTTCACAATGACTAATTCAAACTAGTTGGTGTTTGGTCTGAGAGGGCGGTAATGAGTCCATTTAAGAAGATGTTGTGCTTTAATGTTTTTAGCGCAAGATGGTGAAATCGATCTCAGAAGATCAAATAAACAGTGCAAAGAAGGTTGAATAAACTCATTACCTTAACTCATTACCTTAAAACATATTCAACTGAAAATTCTTGTTCTCCTTAGAGAAAATAACATACAAGTATAATACATCCGTAGGACTCAAATTCTATTAATTCTCTCATATGGTACCACTCAGCTTTAGCACTCAAAACTAATGAAATTACCTATTTGTGTTATCACATTTTCTGCACAAAAGGACACATGAAAACTATTTGTTTTTTGGATTTATACTGACATACCCACCCACAAAAAATACACTCTAGAACTGCACATCAAATGGTTTTCTGGTTATCAACAAAACCCCAGTGAGATGGTAGACAGGATGACTTGAAAATACAATCTCAAACACAAGGATAAGGAGATCTTGTGTTCCTGGAAAGACCAAAATTTGTAAGCAGAAATGGCTTATGTGTATATGTGTCTGATTGCTGGAAATGCAGCTGGGATGGTCACAACCTGAGATTGCTCAGTGACTGTGACAAACATGAGGTAAAGTCAACAAACTCAAAATTAGGCTTGACTAAAACATGAGTGATGACTTGGATCTTTTGTTCATCTGACAGTGGCAAAATTAACAGACAAAACACATGGTATCGAATCTTACTATGAAAAATCATATCATGCCATTACAATGATTGCCAAGTAGGATTGAGCATAATGATATTAAATTCTATCATTTATCCATATTAAGAGATCAGTGTAAATGTGTTGAATAATGTTTTGAATAAAAACTTTTTTTGCCCACTGTAGTTTTGGCAGCAATGAGAAATTCTTCAACCAGTAACACAAACCTGTCCTTTATAGATTGGATCTCCAAGCTAAAAACTTAAGTGAAGCCTTTCCAAAGGCAGCAGCTATCTAGCTTTAAAATAACTTATGTCCAAGGCTTCATAGAATCAGATCACTTCTAAAGGAAAACACAGGTTGTTGTTTCACACATATGCATGCAAAGGCACAATCAAGCATCTAACAGAGTGTCATGGAAGGCTTTGAAGAAAGGCCTGCTGGCAATAAAGGGAAATACCCCCCCCCCCCCAAAAAAAGGAAAAAAAATCAATCCAACACACACAAACGGTCTGCTTCTGAAGTGAAGTTATCAGGAAGCTAAGCCACTGTGTGAGAGAAAGTGTGTGTGTGTGTGATTGTATGCTTTTGGAGGTCGGTCAGCGTTATCACAGTGGGGAGCATGAAGGCCCGTGCAACCTCTCGCCCCAGCATTAGCACCTGTCACTGGCCTGCAGCGGAGTGGAGATTGGCCAGGCCTCTGGGCACATGCACACACACTCACCCAACAAACATACACAGTAGTCTGTAGCCAGTAGTCTGCTTCCTGATAGCCGTGAGCCAGGCAGATCAAAGGTTTTGACTATGGTAGCTTTTCTGGATGATAAGAGCTTGGCAGAAGGTTAGGAAGAGCTTTGCGTTTATCAGACCGGGGCAGGTTTATCAGAGCAGGCTTTAACCAATGTGGGTATTTGAAGGTTGACACGGATGACTTTAGACTCAAGCCTCACATTGACAGTGCTAATGTTCAATGGTTAAAATGTGTTTAAAGCAAAAAAATTAAGTTTAGTCAGAATTGCACAGGGTCACTTTGCTTTAATGACCAACTTCCATCTTTTGCATCAAATGATCAGTTTTTAAACCGAAACATAGGAAGAAATTGTTTTTGCTTGTTTTGCAATGCATTCATTTAAAGTCAAACAAGTAAACTGTATTTGGTAATGGCTCTGTGAACATATATGAATGGAATTCTAATAGTCATTCACCCATTTACTTCTATTAAGAAATGGCCACAAATGCCCCTTCAAACATGCAAATAAAATAGTGATTTACAGTCACTACAGCACCTGAGACTCAATAAGTTATTACACAAATTAAAACTCCTGCTGGGGCTCTCCTAAGATATAGTCATTTTTGGAGTGATAAAAGTAGACGTTAGTTTAGTCCCTACAAAAACAAACAGTAACAAGCACACTTACTATAATTTAATCTCAGTTAATGACTGAAAAAAAGCTTATCTATCAGATACATTGGTAAACAACAATCTGTGTCATTTGGCAACCATGCGTGTTTACTAACTTGTGTGCTTTCCTTTTTAATTTGTCTGTAAGTCTTTGGAAATGTAAGGATGTGATTCTGGCTAAAGGAAAATTGTTGTTTTTCCCTCCATCATGTTAAAATCCGTTAGGATTAAAAGCCACTCTCCACCCAGCTGTTTACCCTCACAGACTGGCCCATACTTATCTCTCCAACCAGTGCTTCTTTCTTTAAAGATTTAATCACACTGCTGTAGGATCTGAGCACCACATAGCCACCTTTTGAAATACACATACCAGAAATACTGATTTAATATAATATATGTATAGTTTATCTAATTATTAATATACATAGCAAATCATTGTTTTTCATGGATTTCCAATATACTGAAGGGTTAAACAGCCGTTTTTCTAGTTTCTATCTAAATCAAAGCAAAAGAGATTATCTCATTTTCAGAATTTTATAGAGCAGCTCAGTTAAAAAAGAATATGGCTAAATCTATTTAGGAAAGCATCACATACAATTCAATCAATAGTCACATTTTTTCTTCTACATGTTTATATTTTTGAATTAAAATATTTATTTATCTGATGAATGCTACTTTTTTACATGGATATTTTTCAATCCTGTCCATCCAATTTCTGTACATGCTTGATTCAATTAAGGGTGGTGGGAGGCTGGAGCCTGTCCTGGTTGTCACTGGGTGACAGGAGGCGTACACCCTGAACAGACTGGCAGTCCATCACATGATACAAACAAAACACAAAACAACACTCCCTCGCTGTGTGGTCACCAGTTCCCAAAGAGAAACCATTTAAACCCACACAGAAGGACCCCAGCCAGGATTCGGACCATGAGCAGAACCCTCTAGCTGTGAAGAAATGGTGCGAATCACTGTAAAGCCCTATTTTTATGAGTGTTTCAAGTGGTATTCAAAATGGCTTTTATTTCTAATTTATATTTGTGTTGTACTTTGTATTTAGTCATTACTTTTCCTTCCGGTTTCTGATGTACTATGCAAACATTTAGATGAGAAATATGTGTATAAAAAAACAATGGAGGGGTCGATCAGAATTATTATAGAATTAGTTTTCTGCTTCTTCGTAAACTGCCTAATGAGAGAAAAACTTTATCTATTAAAATGTGTTCCTGAACACATGATAGCTGAGATGTAATTACTATCCTAACAATATCAACCTCATTTCACATCAAATATGCCTGAATCTTGTTTGAGGAATTT